AGGAGAGTATGGAGGGATGGACACTGGGAAGAGGTAACTATGGGGAGGAAGTGGGAGGGGAGCTGTTGCATTGTGGTAAACTGTGGTCAATGTCATGAAACAAAGTATGTATGAACTGCTGTATGGAAAGTGAATTTGCTCTATAAATCTTCACCCAAATCACAATTAAAAAAATAAAATAAATAAAAAAATTTGGTCATCCAGTGTGTAACTGAGCAGCACCTCAAGAAACTGCTACTGTTCTCATTGACTACCTCTGGTTGCTAAAATGTTCTTATATATATATATATATATATATATGTATATATATATATATACATATATAGTAATCTATGATCTACTTTCCACCAAGTAAATGTAATTCCATCCTTTGGAGTAATAATACAGCAATTTACTCCTCATCTTCTACCTTTCTGCTATCTCAGAAGAGCGATTATGTCTACCTTCAGTGAGTCTCCAAATGGGATATTCATGTTCCTTCGAGTACCTATATGATCCAAGTTCCAGGAGTGTGTCTTGAAGCTTTTCTAGTTTATCAGAGTTTTACAATATGGTCTAGCCAGCCAATTTTTTTTGTAGCCACATCACACCTCAGGATATAAGAACTTTTCCTCTTAAATGTCTTCCATACTCCGGCTTCCTCGTCCCAAATTTGTACAATCCAGTGACACTAAGGGAGCTCTGGTGGCGTAGTGCCTAAGGCATTTGACTGCTAACCAGAAGGGTGGCGGTTCAAACCCACCAGCCACTTCTCAGAAGGAAGATTGGGCAATCTACTTCCATAGAGATACTGCCTCGGAAACCCAAGGATGGGTCACTATGAGTCGGATCTGACTCAACGGCAGTGGGTTTTTATTGACACTAAAAAGTGCTGTGTAGTTTAGAAGGACAGCATTTTAATGCTACAAGGGAGTCAAAAGAAGTAAATGAGAAAGCATACCTGAAAATCAAGTCAGTAAAAGTTCATTAATTCCAGTTCTACTAAGTCAGTATCTGAATGTCTCACTGCATTCTTTTTTTTTAATATGTTTGCTATTTTTTAAAAATGAATGGATATAAGATTATAGAGGAGAATGCATGACATTTAATGTAATTATAAAACTTTGGATGCATCTGTTTACAAAGTAATAAAAACAAATTGATCTTGTATATTCATTAAGTAAATCAACTAACCATTATTTAACATCAATAATAAGAGCCCTTTGCTAACACCATAATTAAAGGGAGGAGGGGGAAAAAGACTTTTAAAATATGTTCTAAAATTCAGAAACTTCTGAAAGTTATTTCAGATTGCCTATTCACAAATCACTCCAAATCATAGAGATTATATTGTGGAGCAGATTATCTGGTTCCTAGGTACTCAAACACATTTTCTGAATAGTGCCTAAGGCACTTGACTGCTAATCAGAAGGCTGGCGGTTCAAACCCACCAGTCTTGCATGCTACATAAAAATCTATCTCTTTATATTAATGTTATCTCTGCTACAATGACTGCAAGAGACTCCATTATCTTTGTATGTTAATTGATTCACAGGTGTGAGACTGAATGGGGATTCCAACTAACACTGGAGGCTGATCTCCACGGCCTGAGTAAGAACTTTGATGATCTAACCCTACGCAAGACAGACTTGGAGATGCAAATTGAAGAACTGAATAAAGACATAGTTCTCCTCAAAAAAGAACATGAGGAGGTAAGAAAATATTCAGAAGTGGTATTGGGAATGACGGCATTTCTCAATTAAGAATAAGGAGAAGGGAGAAGAGGAAGAGGAAGAAGAGGAGGTCCAAAACCAAACTCAGGGCCGTCGAGTCGTTTTCTGACTCATAGCAACCCCTCCTGGGGTTTCCAAGGCGGTATCACTACGGAAGTAGATTGCCCAGTCTGCCTTCTGAGGAGGTAGTAGTGGTAATTGTGACGATGAACAAGATGACAACAATGGTGACATGAGCCCTAACTTTTTATAAAGTCGTTGTATGAGTTAAATAACTTAGAACAGTCCTTAGCTCATTATAAGTGTTGTTGCTATTGTTATGTGCCGTCAAGTCGGACCCGACTCATAGCGACCCCTCCTTGGGTTTCTGAGGCAGTATCACTACGGAAGTAGATTGCCCCACCTTCCTTCCGAGGAGTGGCTGGTGGGTTTGAACCGCCAGCCTTCTGGTTAGCAGTCAAGTGCCTTAGGCACTATGCTACCAGAGCTCCCCATTATAAGTGTAGTTAATATTTTATTCCTTTTTGACTCATTCCCAATAAATCATAAGACTTCTTGTCTTTTCTGTTCAGCCTTATCTGTGCTGCAGACTAAAATGAATGCGTATTTTCACTCTTGTAGGACATTGAAGGCCTGCGCAAACAGCTGGGCAACACCGTCAATGTGCAGGTGGATGCTGCTCCGGGCCTGAGCCTCAGCACCATCATGGATGAAATGAGGCAGAAATATGAAGAGTTGGTCCAGAAGAACCTTCAACAGGTCAAGGAACAGTTTGCAAGACAGGTAATAGCATGGTTCTAAAGGGTGAGCAACTGTGTTGAAACTGTTTTCCAGAAAGAGTTAACTCTTTTCCGTTCTTTGTTTCTTGTCATTTTTGGAACTTTAGACTGAAACTCTGCAGGATCAAGTCAAAGTGAACAAAATAGAAATGATAGGAACTGAAGATCAAATCAAGGAGCGGAGGCGCACCTACCAGAACCTGGAGATAGAGGTCCATTCCCATCTCAGCATGGTAAACACATCTAACTCCCATTTCTTAACCCAGTATGTGCTTTCTAAGCAGCTGTGTTAGGAATTCCAGAAATGGGGAGACCTATAAGAAATAACCCCTCCCCTCACAGAGCTAGCAGGAAAACAGGCCAAACAACTGATGATGATTAAAAGGCAGAGAGAAGTCCAGGAAAGGACAATATACTGCAAGAATGCAGAGGCGAGAGCAGGTAGGAAGACTTCATCGGGAAGGAGGTAGCATTTGAGGTAGATCTTAAAAATTGAGATAAAGTTTAAGGTTGGAGAATGAGAGTAGACATTCCTGGTTAAGCAAATGAGTCAATTCATGATAAATTATATTGTGGTAACAAACAATCCCCCAATCCTAACTGCTTGCAGCACCACCACCACCACATCTCTCATGGGCTGGCTGCAGCTCTGCTTCACGGCATTTTCACTCCAGGGGTAAGGCTAAAGGAACAGCGCCTACCTCACACATAGCAGTGTTGCAGGCTGAAAGAAAGAGCAACCGCTGGACCACATAACGGCCCTTGAAGCTTCTCCTCAGAATAGGCATTTATAGCTTCCATCTGCATCACACTGGCTAAAAACACTCCCACGGCCATGCCTATCAGTGGGGTGAAGAATGCTCCCAAATGGAGGGTGACATAAATCACATGGCCAACCCTAATGCAAGGGACAGGGAGATAAAGCCTCTCACAGGGAGACCAAAAAAAACAAAAGGGCAAATATTTGGCAACAATAATACAATGTACACACTGAGAGAACAGCCAGCACAAAGCAAAAGCAACAACAAAAAACAACAGCTAGTGATCCCAGCTAAGGGTGAGGTTGCCTGCATGGGAAGAGTGGGAGATTAAGCTAGAAATACATGTGACGTCTACAATGGTAGGCGCAGAGACTATTCTTAAGAGAAATTAAAATTGAGCCACCTCTTAAGTCTCAAATAAGAAATGCCCTCTTTCTTCTTTTCACAGAAAGAATCTTTGGAGCACACATTAAAGGATACAAAACAAAGTTACAATATGCAATTGAGCAGGATCCAGGCAAAGATAAGCTCCCTAGAGGCTCAGCTGACACATATTCGGACTGACACAGAACGCCAAAACAATGAATACAATATTCTCTTCGACATAAAGACCAGGCTTGAGCAGGAAATTGCCACCTACCGCCGCCTTTTGGAAGGAGAAGATAGGAGGTAAGGGTCTTAGCATCAAGGAATAAGTGTCAATTTCTAAATGCTGTTCTATTTGAAAGTCCACATATTTTATCTTGTCACTCATGACCCAGCAACAATGCATTCCTTAATACAAAAGCGATCACACACACACACAAATCAACAGCAAAACAAAAATATACCAAAAGGTATGCACACCCCAAAAATATCAAGTACCGACTTTGTACTTGAGGTCATGTGGTCGGACTGCATTAGAAGGTGGTTCCAGGTGATACAGATTATTCTTATATTAACTTTTATAATTAATTTCTCATTGAAAGCACTTTTTTTTTTTTTAATTCTCATTGTATATGCATGAGCTGAACAACAGTCTACAGAGGTCCCTGGGAGCTCATCTGAGAATCAACAATGTCCCCAGCAGCGAAGTTATTCAAATATCACGCCCAAGAAAGTCAACAAGAGAACCCAAGATTACACGTCCACTGTAACTCTATTACAAAAACCCACTGCCATCGAGTCGGTTCTGACTCATAATGACCCTCATTGGGTTTCTGGGCTGTAAAACTTTACCAAAGTAGATTGCCCTGTCTTCCTTCTGAGGTGTGGTTGCTGGGTTTGAACTGCCAACCTTCTGGTTAGCAGTCAAATGCCTTAGGCACTGTTCCACCAGAGCTCCTTAATTCTATTATAGTCCTTACAAAAACTTCTAATGTATATTAAACGGGCCAGCTTTGAAGCTATGTGTTTTCAAGTTAAAAAGTAAGACACTCAAGTTTGAAGCAACTAGTGTGATAAAAAGGGGGAAAAAATACAAAAACAGCACTAACGCACATATCACTTAGATTTTCAGTACTTTGACAGATAAAAAGCAGGAATGACAATAACACTTGTTTCTTTTTCTTTTTTAAAAAACAAACAAACAAAAAGTGTGACAGAACTTCAGTTAAGCACCCTGGAAGAGAGAGGTAAGTGTTCTAATTTCCATACATTTGTTTCATCCATTTCCAATGCAGCTTTCTACTAATTATCAACTATGGTGAAAAGTTGAGTTCAACTGTCAAATGAGCAGACATGACACTCCAAAAACCAACCCTGCTGCTGTCAAGTGATTCGTACTTGTAGCAACCCTGTAAGACAGAGTAGAACTGCCCCACAGGGTTTCCAAGGCTATAATCTTTATGCAAGCAGACTACCACACCTTCCATGGAGCAGCTGGGGTTTGAACCTTAGGGTTAGCAGCCGAGTGCTTAACCACTGCACCACCAGGGTTTCTTGACATGACTCTCTTTCTCTCTCTCTCTCTCTCACTGTTGTCGAGTCAGATCCCACTCATAACGAACCCTGACCCCTCCTTGGGTTTCCGAAGCAGTATCTCTACGGAAGTAGATTGCCCAGTCTTCCTTCCAAGGAGTGACTGGTGGGTTTGAACTGCCAGCCTCCTGGTTAGCAGTCAGATGCCTTAGGCACTGTGCCACCAGAGCTCCTGACGTGACAGTAAGGATTCTGAAAATCACAAACATCTTAAGAAGGAACCCTCCCCATTGGAAATCTGTCACACTGTCTGTGGCAGGGCAGTTTTCATGCCCGTGCTGTTTCTGTCCTAAGACGTCCTGAGATCCTGTGAAACAAATAAGATTAAAATGTGACTTTTGATTAATTCAGTAATCAATACTGGAGTGGAGAGGGAAGGACATTTTAAAATTGAGGAGAGTGGCATATTTTCTACATTTGTCTATAATATGGATTTAGAATTATTTAAGAAAGGGAATGGATTCAAATGTTTTCCTAAAAGTACAAAATAATAAAAATCTAAAAATGAGTAAAACTAGCAGTCATACGTGTGAATTAACATGTAGTGTTTATATCTGAATTCAGATATCAAGAAAACCAGGAAGATTAAGACTGTCGTGGAAGAAGTGGTGGATGGCAAGATTGTGTCATCTGAAGTCAAAGAGTTGGAAGAAAACATATAAGCAGCAGCCAGGAGGCAGCAGGCTGCCGAGATCCTGAAAGAACTGGCTGTAATTTTTGCTCCCTGCAGGAAGCAGCCCTTCAAAAATGTTATTAATACTTTGTAGTGATCAAAGAGGAAAAAGCCAGTCTCTGTAATTGAATATAAATGTTTTACTCAAAGGAGCTACAAATAGCCTGCAAAAATGAAATCCAATGAGCACTTGGGTCTTTAAAGCACCATTATTGCCATCTTTACTGTGAAGCATATTAATTACAAGCTATAGCCCACCTACTATCAATTCATAGGTAATGTTCCTGAAAATCACATTACACAGCAATTATACTAAACCTCTTGGATCAGAGGAGTCTATGCAAATCATAAAGAAACCTCTCTCTTTAATCTTCTCTCTTTCTAAGTTGTAAAACCTCCCTTAGCCGGGACTGGATTCCTCACTGAGCATTGTGGGGGCGGTGGGGAGGTGTTGATCTCATTGTGTTTTTGGTATCAGTACAATTCTGCTACCTCTCAGCTTTGTCTCTTTTCTTTCCATGGCCTCTACTGCCTTGTAAATCTTAGCTGAGCTCTTTGAATTATTTGAGAGTTAAATTCTGATCATCAGTGCTGAGCAGAATAAGCATGAAGCAAGCTATGCAGGAAACGGGGACAGATAAAAAGTAAAATCAATGAGGCCTTCTTAAGGTACAGTGCTTCTCCTTATGAGAAACATAAATCATTGTGTGCTCTCTTTCCTTCTGTGGTGAATGGATGTTACGAACTGCTGGTCACCGTTTTTTTAAATAACACCTTTGTGGAGACATAAATCACACACCATAAAATTCACCCTTTTAAAATACACAATTCACTGGTCTTTAGTTTAGTTTCCGAGTCGTGTAACCATCATCACTACCTAATTTGAAAACATCACCCCAAGAAGACTCACCCTACTCCCTCCCCTGACAGTCACTCCCTGTTCTCCCTCGCTCCAGCCCCTGGGGCAAGACTACTTCCAGTCTAGACAGATTTGTCTATTCTGGACATTTCATAGATATGGAATCTTTTGTACATGAATGTTCATATCAGCATTATTCACAATAGCCCAAAAGAGGAAACAACCCAAATGGCCATAAACTGATGAATGAATAAACACAATGTGGTATATCTGTACAATGGAAAATGATTTGGTCATAAAAAGGAATTAAGTGCTGACACACGCTACAACACAGATGAACTTGAGGACGTTATGCTAAGTGGAAGAAGCCAATACAAATGATGATATATTGTATTCTCACTCTTTTTTGCATTTTGGTGGGTGATAACGGCCTTGCAGCTATTCACAGGAAAAATAAATTTGCCTTCTATCAATGTATTAGAGTAGATAGCTTGCATTTGTAAGTTTGTATGTTGCTGTTGTTATGTGCTGTGGAGTCAGATCCGACTCATAGCGACCCCTCCTTGGGTTTCCGAGGCGGTCTCACTATGGAAGTAGATTGCCCAACCTTCCTTCCAAGGAGTGGCTGGTGGGTTTGAACCACCAGCCTTCTGCTTAGCAGTCAAGTGCCTTAGGCACTATGCTACCAGAGCTCCCGTAAATTTGTCCAGAGGTTTGCAAATAAGCAGGATTTTTAGATTTATTATTATATGAAAAATGAAGTGTGTGGTTCACTGAAAAATAATAACAGCTACCACTTACTGAGCACTTACTACAATCCAAACAGTAGGTCACGAATTTTGCACACATTTCTCACTTAATCCTCACAATAATCCCATGAGGTAGAAACTGTGAGGTTGAATCATATATGAAGTTGCCAAGATTCGATCACTTTTGACTTTCAAAACTTGTAATCTCATGTGGTTTAACCTTTCTATATTATCCCCATTTTACATACGAGGACAAATGAAGATTATAAATGAAGCCATGAGATAATACTTTCCCAAAGCCACACAGTTATCAGTAATGAAACAACTGAACCTCTGAGCTGTGTGTCTAAAGCCATGATACTCTCCTCAGTAACTAATCATATGGTCATTGAGTGTGGAGCCACACTGAAAATGAGTGTCTGCCCATCCTTAGTTATTTTGTCATTTTCCAATTGTCGTTTTCACTAGCCAGACACTGCACAGCACTCAGTTGTGGCAAATGGTGGGCTCCCGTTACCTAGCATCACACACACAGACCAGGTTCAGCACAACGGAGGAGCTGCTATTTCCACCCATTCTCACTCCATTGTTTTTGAAAGAAGTGAAGAGATTTCAGTCTCTTTATTTATTTTTATTTTTCCCTTACTTTCTGGCAAAGTCACTTCAAGAGGAAATTCCTTCTTAAAATGCTAAGAGCTTTTGGAAGTGTTTTTTTTTTTTTTTTTCACCTGCCAGGACTCACTCCAGAATGGCCTGAAATTGTTGACAAGCAAATACCAGAGACTATGAATCTAATTGGGAGGAGTTCTGGTAGTGTAGTAGCTAAGGCACTTGACTGCTAACCAGAAGCCTGGTGGTTCAAACCCACCAGCCACTCCTCGGAAGGAAGATGGGGCAATCTACTTCTGTAGTGATAC